CACCTCGAAAATCAAAGTGAAAAAATGATGCAGCAGGCTAGTCCATTTTGCTGAAATTTCATTGCAGTAACTCAAAATGGTACTCAGTTTGTATGGCCCGCACGTGATTGTATGCATGCCTGACAACATTGGGGAATTCTCCTAATGAGACTGTGGATGTGTCCTGGGGTATTTCCTCCCAGATCTGGACCAGGGCATCACTGAGCTCCTGGACAGTCTGAGGTGCAACCTAGCCAAAGCATGATATCCCAGAGGTGTTCTATTGGATTTAGGTCAGGCGTGAGGGCCATTCAATGGTATCGATTCCTTCATCCTCTGGGAACCACCTGCATATTCTCGCCACATGAGACCAGGCATTGTTGTGCACCAGGAGGAACCCAGGACCCACTGCACCAGTGTAGGGTCTCACAAAGGGTGCAAGGATTTCATCCCGATACTTAATGGCAGCCAGGGTGCCATTGTCTAGCCTGTAGAGGTCTGTGTGTCCCTCCATGGATATGCCTCCCCAGACCATCACTGACCCACCACCAAAATGGTCATTCTGAATGATGTTACAGGCAGCATAATGTTCTCCATGGCTTCCCCAGACCCTTTTACGTCTGTCACATGTGCTCAAGGTGAACCTGCTCTCATCTGTGAAGAGCACAGGGCGCCAGTGGAGGACTTGCCAATTCTGGTGTTCAATGGTCTATGGTGCTGGGCAGTGAGCACAGGGCCAATTAGAGGACGTCGGGTCCTTAGACCACTCTCATGAAGTCTGTTTCTGATTGTTTGGTCAGAGACACTCACACCAGTGGCCTGCTGGAGGTCATTTTGTAGGGCTCTGGCAGTGCTCATCCTGTTCCTCCTTGCACAATGGAGCAGATACTGGTCCTGCTGATGGGTTAAGGACCTTCCATGGCCCTGTCCAGCTCTCCTAGAGTAACTGCCTGTCTCCTGAAATCTCCATGCTGGGAGATGCAGCAAACCTTCTGGCAATGGCACGTATTGATGTGCCATCCTGGAGGAGTTGGACTGCCTGTGGAACCTCTGCAGGGTCCAGGTTATCGCCTCATGCTACCAGTAGTGCTCAACTCAGTGACGGTATCTTCAGAGATGCCTGTAAACTGCTTCACTTTGTAGAAAAGTGGATCAGGGTGTGAACCCAACTGATATACCTCATACATTTTATTGGTGTTGGCTAAAAAAAACCTTCATGGCCAAATCAAAGTTTTGTGTGGTCACCACATTTTACATGGCAATGTATTCCCGTGTATGTGATGCATTGCACCACATATTAACGCACCATGTCCTTTTTTGTTGTTTGTTCATGTGTGTGGTCAGCTTGTTCAGAAAGATTGAGCTTCCTCAGTGTAATACACAAGAAGGGAAAAGTATGACTGGGCCCCCAGCCTTATGTATGATATGGACTTCTGTGAGGAAGTTGCAGACACCTCAGGGCTCACTATAGTACCAGTGTATGAAAACACTAGGCCCCAACTCCTCCCTGAACAAAGACTCAGCTCTATGCACATGAAGGGCGTTGTTTTGGCCATTACTGTCTGCTCCTCTCCATTTCAGTAGGAACAGCCTGCAAATCTCCTCAGCCATTTTAGTTTCTGCTGCATGAACCCTGTACAGTACACTCCCTGTACCATGTATATACACTGTGTAGCCCGTCTTCGGATTTTATTCAGTATAGCTCCTTTTCAGTGTGGAATAGACAATGAAGAGCTGAGCGCATTGCATCATATTGTTTATGGGTCCTACTATAAACACGCACTATAAAATGTCCGCCCTCCATTTTGTTAACGCTACAAACTACAGCAGTTCTGACTCATCGCCTTTGTACACGACCCCCAGCCAATCAGCTCGATCCTTCCCGAGTCCACGCCCCGCTAGCCACCATTTTGTGGATTCAGCAGCTGGAGGAGGACGGAGCTCCGCCCGCTCTTTTCTCCTATTTTCTCCATCATCCTTATAGAACTGAACACGTCCCTGGCCCGTCACATGACCAGGACACACCCCTTTCTGCTAAGCCGCACCTCTCCGGGCACATTTTGTTCCTCTGCAGGCTCAGAGCTGCGTCATTCGGCGATTGGAAGTCTTGAGGTGAGCTTGTGTGGCTGATGGATTCTGCTTTTCTTTTACATTATCTTGAGTTACTGTAAGCAGGTTTGCTTGTTAGTGATGAGGTGTATATTACTCCGGCCTGTGCGGGGATTTTAGGGAATGGTTGGGGGATTTGTGCTTTCCTGCTTAGAACATAGTTACCTATCGGGGTATTACCGGCAGGCTGTTGTTGATTTGTATTGGATTGGTGAGTTAAGGCGCCTGGGAAATGCGGTGAGGAAGTCCCCTCCTCCTACTCGCGGAGCCGGCGCCATTTTGGAACTTTCCGGACCATGCTGAGGGCAGGCGGTGGGGGAGGGGAGGGCTGTGCGTGCTGATTCTTTCCTTCCCGCTCTGGCTGGGGTGACTGGAGATCAGGATTTACTTCTTCTCGACGGGCCTGCTATACGGTATTACTAATGGGGTGCATCATTATTAATTGAAACATTTCCCCGTACATGCTGAGCGGTGTGGGGGAGATCTAATCCAATGTATGCACACATCTTCCACGTGGGTGCCTTGTGTATTCTACGTATGTCTAGTAATGTTCGTGTACACACGATTTAGGAGCAGCCTGGTCTATGGAGACACGATCCGATGTACTATACAGGACACAAGGGGAAGATCTATAATGAAGGTGCAATGCATAGGAAGGGTACTCTGGAAGAGCGATGGAACACGGGGTGGCGATGTGCGGGGGCAGAATCTAGGTGCAGCCTGGTCTATGGAGGCACAATCCGATGTGCTATACAGAATACAATGGGAAGATCTATAATGAAGGTGCAATGCATAGGAAGGGTACTCTGGAAGAGCGATGGAACATGGGGTGGAGATGTGCGGGGGCAGAATCTATTGAGCTCATGTCCTAGGCAGCCCCCCCTCCAATGTTAGATTGCACCTAGCTTTTATCCTGTATAGCTCTACCTTGTAATACATCGGGACATCTAAGGTGCACAAAGATCTACCCCCCCAACAGATTGCACTTCCTTAATGTCTCCATACAGCTTTCCCCATATTAGATTGCAACTGGCTTATATCCTATGTAGCTCTATCCTGTATTGGATTGGGGACATAAACGAGGTGCACACAACTCTACCCCCCCCCCCCCCCCCCATAGATTGCAACCAGGTAATATCCACATACAACTGCTGAACATTAGATTGGGGACATAAAATAAGTGCACTCTAATATCGGGTACAGCTGTGTGCACCTAGTTTATGTTCCCAGTCTAATACAGGGCAGAGCTACATGGGATCTAGGCTAGGTCCAGTCCAATACGGGGCCGAGCTACATGGGATCTAGGCTAGGTCCAGTCCAATACGGGGCCAAGCTACATGGGATCTAGGCTAGGTCCAGTCTAATACGGGGCCGAGCTACATGGGATAAGGGAAGAGCTGTTTTGTGATGTAAACCCAACCTACCTACACCCCCCCCATATCTGGGGGTTTGGGGTTACATCCCCAAACAGCTCTTCCCTTATCTTAAATTGCACTTGCCTAATATTCCTTTACTGATCTACCCTGTATTAGAATGGGGACATAAACTAGGTGCACATCTCCACTCCCTCCCCCAAAATATAATGACACCTAGTTAATGTCTCCATACAGCTCCACTGAACATTAGATTGGGAACATAAACTGCAATCCTATTGGGGGGGTTGAGCTGTGCACTTAATGTCTCCATACAGCTCTACCTTGTATTAGATTGCACCTAGTTTATGTCCCTAGTCTAATAGGGGGTAGCACTGTATAGGGGCATGGACCAGGTGTGATGTAATATGGAGACACAGCCCTGCACATGGTTTTTTACATTCTGTTGGTTGGGGTCCCTTTATGTCCTTCACTCGTATAATGTGACTGAATGGGGGAGCCAACACCTATTTGTGTGGGTAAAAAGTCTGCTAGAATGGCAGATGAAGGCTTACTACAGCCTCTGCTATGATTTGGTTCGAGGGTAAATGTTTTTATCATTTGGGTGCTGCATCCAAATTTACACAGTGCTAGGAATATTTTTGCCCCATTATTTTTTACCCAAGCCCCCCCCTCCACAGATGTGAGGTTTTGTCCATCCTAAAGGCTGGACCTCCGGGGTTTTGGTTGCATCCAGTACTGCAAGTCTCACGGTCCTTCCTGAGCATTGCAGCCCCCATAGACTTCAATGGGGCAGTCTGATCTCCCTGGCCTCGGGACACAGCCCCATGCAAGTCTATGGGACTGTAAGGCTCCATGCACACTAGCAGTTTATTAACGTAACATTAGCTGTGTAAAGTCGAGTTAAAAATGCGTGTTATTTAGCAGCATTTTTTATCAGTTTCCCAAAAAAAGTTTTTTTTTTGTAGAAAAACGCCCAAATATGCTGATTTGTTGCAATTTACTGCTTTTTTTTTCAGCATTAGAGCGTTTTTACAGCTAAACTAGAAACCTACTAGTTCTGGGGGTTTTTCCAGCCAAATAACGCCCCTGCCGAAAAAAAGTTGATTAGTCTGTGTGCATGGACACATAGGATAACATGCTGGGGGGTTTACTGGCTGTAGAAAAAATTGTCAAAAGCCAAAAACAGCCACTGTAAAAAAAGTCCAGTGTGCACGAGGACTAATGCTCCAGGCTGGGCACTTGCAGTGCTGGATGTAAGCAAACACTGGAGAAGGGTGGACATTGGATTTGGGGAAACCTATGAAATGGCTACTCTTCATCCTGGCATGAATTAGAAATCCCTTGTGTGACTACAGAGGGAGGGGATTTAGACTCGCACTCCCCACCTAGTGGTAGACTTGCAGTATGAAATTTGATTTCAGGTTTTTTGACCATAGATCAGTTTTTGTCTTTTTGTATTTTTTAAATTTTAACTAGTGCAACACTTCAACTTCCAACATTTCTTTTTCAGACTTTTTGTTCCAGAATATTGCAAATATGAGTGGCTGCAGAGTCTTCATTGGTCGGCTGAACCCAGCTGCCAGAGAAAAAGATGTGGAGAGGTTCTTCAAGGGCTATGGAAGAATCAGAGACATTGATCTGAAAAGAGGCTTTGGGTTTGTGGTAAGTGCCTTGTGTTGTCAGCTGTACTGGGACTATGCCCTGTGTGACATAATTTTGTCAACATACTGCAGCCCTGTTAGGAATATGTTCATTGTTTTCTGGGCAGCTTATAAAACAATTAGGAGTGATTGTTAATGCAAGACTCCTTTTGTAAGGGTGACATGGCAACATTGGAGCTGAGCTGCTAACTAGGTTGTTTCACTGAAAAATGAAGTATTTTATTGGTGCTAATCATTCATATTCTTTTGTTAGGAATTTGAAGATCCAAGAGATGCAGATGATGCAGTTTATGAACTTGATGGCAAAGAGCTGTGCAATGAAAGGTATGGTAATATTTTTGATAAACTACACAAAATTGCTGCAAATGACATGACTTTAACATAGCTTTGCCATTTTGGTTTCAGGGTTACAATTGAGCATGCCCGTCTGCGTTCCAGAGGAGGTGGACGAGGAGGTCTTGGTCGTGGAAGATATTCTGATAGATTTAGTAGTCGCCGTCCACGTAATGAAAGAAGGTATGTAATGAGCCACCTCCAAGTTTACTGCTCGAGTAAAGCTGGCCATACACTATACTTGTACAGTTTTTTTTTTTTCTTTTAGATTTAGCAAAACCATATAATATGAGGTCAAAGCTTAACACTGTCACTTTGTATGCAATCAGACAGGCCCTTACACTGCATAGTTGAATATAAATCTAGAGGAAATTAAATACAAAAATTGTATAATACAGGGTGCAGCAACATAACATCCTTTTTTCAAAACTCAATAAAACCCATTTTATTAATCAGAATTGTGTTTATTGTCTTTAATAATGTAGGTACATATCTAAAGTTCTGTTTTACACAGTTTTGAAAATCATCAGGTAGGTGACGCCCCCCATTGTCCATAGACTGAATAAGTGAATTCAGACCGGTATGTGAACATGTTGGAGGAATTTGTTTTTCCACGACTTGATGAATTGGACTTAGGGGACATTTGGTTCCAACAGGACGGAGCAACGGCTCACACTTCAAGAGCATCAATGGCTGTTTTAAGGGAACACTTCCTGGAGCGCCTCATCTCAATAAGGGGTGATTTGGAGTGGCCAGCCCGCTCCCCCGATTTGGCCCCTTGCGACTTTTTTTGTGGGGTTTTTTTAAATCCCGCGTTTATGTAAACCGTCCAAGGACCCTACAAGACCTGAAGGCCAACATCCGCGCTGCTATGCTGGTAAGGGTCATGAAAAACGCCAGAAATCGGCTTATTCAGTGTATGGACAATGGGGGGCGTCACCTACCTGATATGATTTTAAAAACTGTGTCAAACAGAACTTTAGCTATGTACCTACATTATTAAAGACAATAAAAACAATTCTGATTCATAAAATGGGTTTTATTGCGTTTTGTAAAAAGGTTATGTTGCTGCACCCTGTATATGGCCGGCATAACTGATAGTCATGCAGCATGTTTGACCAACTTTATTTTTTCTTATAGTGCTCCACCAATAAGGACTGAAAATCGTCTTATAGTAGAAAACTTGTCATCAAGAGTCAGCTGGCAGGTTTGTTGACTTATTCTAAAGGGGATTATGGGTATATGTGCTTTTCACAAGTACTCATGTCTAATGTCTTCTATTTATTTTTACATATATATATAATTGGGGATTATGATATTGGGATGGGAGTTTAATTTTTTTTCCATAATTTTAACCAAATATTAAACCCTTTATTTGCCAGCCTATCTGTGTCTCGTTGGCCTTGTGACGAGGAGCGCCTGTTGGTTATTGCTCTGTCTTGGTCACTTTTGGTTGGGCCGGGTTGAAATTGCCAGTGAGCTCCTACATTGCCTGTTGGCCTCCTAGATCCGTGGCCGGTCTAGACATACCGGAGCACTTCCTTGCAAATACCAGGTTGCAGCGACCCCCTGAGAGTTAACGAAATCTGGTCCTTAAGTTGAGAGATGCTCTTCCTGTAAAGATTCCGAATGAGAGGTCGTGGTCGCAGAGTTGAAAGATACGCAATTAGGTGGTCGTTGGAATTCTGGTCGCAGTAAAGTCCTTGGTAACGCCACAGGAGTACAAATGATGGCCATCGTCCATAGTCTTCTAATAGGGAGGGTCGTTCGCTATAAAGGCTTCCATCAAATGGTTAGCCCACAAGTGGGTGTGAAGAGCCAGTCGGGCTTGTCTCATGACGGTTCCTCCAGTCGCTTAATGCAGTTTGCTGGTTGACTAGCCTAGGGATGTAATATTAAAAGGTAAAGTAACCTATATTTTTAATGACATCATGGGCACCAAATAAATGGCTTTTATTACACATGCTTGTAATAACTTGTATTACTACTAATTTTAGTGTCTCTATATTAGCAGTACTTACACTATTTTCCACGTTGACCTTAAGTCTACTTCTCTTATTTCAGAAGACTTCTCACTTATTTTGTGCCCTACTGTAGTTTTTTGCTGTTCTTAATCTTGAAGAATGGTGAAATTACAATGTCAAGTTCCAATCTAACATTTTGCATTTCTTTTCAGTCTTTTAAGTTTGTTCAGAATGTATTCTGTATCTATTATAACAAACTCCTGGTCTTGCATTAGGATCTGAAGGACTTCATGAGACAAGCTGGAGAAGTAACTTTTGCTGATGCGCACAGACCAAAGCTCAATGAAGGGTGAGTTAATTATATTGTGTAGGGTGTGATTTTTTTTTTTTTTTTTTTTTTTTTTTTTTTTTTTTTTTCCCCCCCCTCTCTGCTGACCTTTAATGTGTAGTGATCTAATGCTGTGTGAGAGATGTGCTGGGCAGTCTACCAAGTTTGTTTAATTGGCTGAAAAATATTTTGGACTTTTTTTTTTTTTTTTTCTTTTTTTTTAGTTATTACATTTCTCTGCGTTCTCATTTACAGGGTTGTAGAGTTTGCATCTTATAGCGATCTCAAAAATGCCATTGAGAAACTATCTGGCAAGGAAATAAATGGAAGAAAAATCAGACTGATTGAAGGAAACAAAAGGCACAGGTTTGTGGAATATCTATAAACGTTTGCCGACTAGCTGCTCTACATTTTAACAAGCTGCTTTTTCTGTGCAGTCCCCATTTTGCTAAACCACTCCAGTTACTAATGATATTCTGCAGATGTTGCTGAATTCCTCCCTAGTGTCCATTCTGCTACTTAAACAGCCCCTAGTGCCAATTTGTTGGCCAGCAGACTTTAGTTTTAGTGCATTTACTTTGAACTTGGCCCAGCACTGCAGTTAATGACTAGATAATGTTACATGATCGGTCATGGAGGACTGGTGATATTGCTAGAAATAAACTTAAGCTTCCACTATGGCTTACCCAGAGTGTTGAGCTTCAAAATTTTGGTTTGTCCAAGTCACCTATTTTTTTTTAACTATTTATGTGGTGATCTAGCTCAAAATGGCCTTTTTAGTTTGATGCAGACATCAGATGTTCCTAACCCTGAGTTGTTCTTTCTAGCCGGTCAAGAAGCCGCTCCCGTAGCAGAAGCTCATCTAGGTCTCGCAGCCGATCCCGCTCCAGGAGCAGGAAGTCCTACAGCCGATCCCGTAGCCGCAGTCGTACCCCTCGCAGCAACCGTAGTAAATCAAGATCTGTGAGTAGGTCCCCTGTTCAAGACAAATCTCAGAAGGTTGCTGCATCAAGGAGTCCATCCAAATCCCCTGCATCTGCTGATCGGCAAAGGTCTCGGTCGAGGTCCAGATCTGTTGATAGCAGAAACTGAACTTTTTATACCCCCCCATTTTAATTTTATTTTTTTTTTTCATGCCCCCATTTTACTCCCCTGACTTTGTGAAAAGTATACTTGCTAATCTTGGTAAGTATGAGATCAAGCAGGAATATAGAAAACAAAATAGTGTGGACCACTGAGACAGATGCTCAAACTGTCTTTTAATACCTTCCACCTGCTTGTTAATTGTATAGTTTTGTGTAAAGTACTTTACTTTTTTTTTTTTTTTTTTTTTCTTTTTTTTTGGGATGTGATTGAAGATCTGACTGTATTTGAGCTTAACATGGGACATGACACTCGTGTGCTCACTGCTGTAAATAAAGCTGTTGTGCGTTTGCCCTACAAATCCCTTGGCTTCCATATGTTTCATTTTGTGAAATATATACTATTCTAATAAACTTTATTACAAAAACATTGTTTAATGTGTACAGGTTGGTATTTTATATTGCAGATGTCTGCTTCCAGATACTTTCTACTAATCACAAGTTGATTAAAGTATGGCAGGAATCGCTGGTTTATCATATGATACAAAGTGCAGTTAACTCAAGCCTACTCTACCTGCTCTGTGCAGTGGTTTTGTACAGAGCAGCAAGGATCCTCTTTGATCCCCTGGAGGTACTCCTGAACCCCTCCTTGTCAGCTACCCCCACAGCAAACTGCTTGCTATGGGGCCACCTGAGCATATGCACTCCCCAGCTGCTGCTCCATGTCCTTTCACATGCAGAGCCTCTGCTCAGCCCTGCCCCCTCTTCTCATTGGCACCACTGGTTGTGATTGCTGCTGTCTCAGCCAATGATGGAGCCCTGAGGTTTTTTTTTTTTTTTTTTATGCATGAAGGTAAAAAAAAAACATTAAGCCTTTTTTACGGAAGATCACTTAGGCAATCTCTGAAGGGAAGCCTATCCTGCCCTCCACTAATAATGGAATCTTCTACCAGTCCATCCCCCCCCACAGATACTACCTTTTTTGTACCACTAGCCCCTCCCTCATATTGTAAGCTTCTAGGAACAGGGACCTCCTAACACTCTTGTGTTGAACTGTATTGTCCTGTTATATTGTAAAGCGCTGAGCAAACTTGGTGCTATAATAATCCCTTTGTAATGTACTCCGGTTTTGTGAAAATACCAAATTCTGGGTTGACAGGATAGAAAGTTCTGATTTTGATTCTCTTCACTTTTGAGAACTTTCCCTGTTATGAAACGGGAAATGAAGGTAAATCCTTCCCATTGTGATGCAAATTGGAACTGATGTTATAACCCTCCATGCAGGCCCTACCAATTAAATATTTCATGAATTAATCACCTTTTGGGAATACCTAATTGAAAGGGTTTGTTTAATAAATGCAAAAACAAGTCTGACATGAAATTACTTACTTGACTCCCAGTTAATTAGGCCTCCTCCATAAAGGACTGTTTAGACCTGCAGGGAATTTGTCCACTGATCAGAGCAGATGTCAGGTCTGTGTCCACTCAATTTCTGCAGAGCTGATGTGGACATAGCCTGCTTTTCTCTTGGGTGGGTGTAAAGGGACTGTACTGTCTACACCTGGCTGCCCTCTGATCTGCATAGATGGAGAGGTGGGTGTTTGTGTGAGGTTGGTGTAAACTGAAAGGTGGACCTGAGCATTACCCTTCATGTAAAAGGGGCCTTGCAAAGGAACTGGACATCTCCTTGTGGCTTGTAACTTTTAACTGTGGCTATAACTTGAGCCTCACTAACAGGACTGTATGGGGCAATGTCAATCCACAATAACAGGCCCTATATTGCCAAATGTATTGGGACGCCTGCCTCTACACCCATGAACTTTAATGCTATCCCAGTCTTGGTCTGTAGGGTTTGATATTGAGTTGGCCCACCCTTTGCAGCTATAACAGCTTCAGCTCTTCTGGGAAGGCTGTCCACAAGGTTTAGGAGTGTCTATGGGTATGTTTTGACATTTCTTCCAGAAGTGCATTTGTGAGGTCAGGCACTGATGTCGGATGAGGCCTGGCTCGCTGTCTCCATTGGAATTCATCCCAAGGGTGTTCTGTCTGGGTGAGGTCAGGATTGTACAGGCCAGTCAAGTTACTCCACCCAAAACTTGCTCATCCATGTCTTTATTGACCTTGCTTTGTGCACTGGTGTGCAGTCATATTGGAACAGGAAGGGGCCATCCCCAAGCTGCTCCCACAAAGTTGGGAGCATGAAATTGTCCAAAATGTCTTTGGTGTGCTGACGCCTTAACAGTTCCCTTCACTGGAACTAAGGGGCCAAGCCCAACTCCTTTTTTTTTTTTTTTTTTTTTTAAAGCCATAATCCCCCCTCCACCAAATGTTACACTTGGCACAATATGGTGAGGCAAATACTGTTCTGGAAACCACCATGGCGATATTCGTCTCCAAGGATGATGGTTGGTAGCTCAGAGGAGAGGAAGAAGGGAAGCCAGGTGGCCAAGTCATCCCGGAAGCGGGGTATGGACTCAGGAGGTCTGTAGATCACTGCGATCCTTAGGGGGGTGGGGGAAAAAAGCCGGATGCAGTGTGCCTCCAAAGGAGGACAGAGGGGGGGTTAGGGAGGACCTGGAAGTTGCACAGCGGTGATAGGAGCAAGCCGCCACCACCACCTCTGCGACTGCTCGGTCTTGGTGAATGGGTCCAGATGAAACCTCCATGGGTGAGTGCCGCAGGGGAGGTAGTCAGTGGCCTGTACCCAGAATTCGGTGACCGCTAGGAGGTGGAGTTAGTGGGAGATAGAGGTCATGGATGGCGGTAAGCTTGTTGCAAACTGAGCGGCCGTTCAAGAGTGCAACCGAGAGCGTGAGCAGCCCAGCATCAGAGTGCTTGTAACCAGCATAGACTCACCTCAAATGCAGGATGCTCTGAAATGCATTATGGAGACGGATCCTCTGGCATACCTGCAGTTTCTGGAAGAGAAGAACACCGGACAGCGGCTGAGAGGGAGGCTGATGGCCGACATGAACTGGAGATGGCTAGGTTCCAGCAGCAGCGACAGGCTCAGAGCCTTGGGTCCATAGAGCACAGGGACGCCTGTCTTCCCGTGGGCCCTGGAAGAAGGGTCAGCTGCACCCCAGAGGTTAGAGGAATATAGTGTGTATTTTTTGATCCATAGGACATACAACACTAGGACATAAATACAAGGCTTAACGCATTTCACATGATCTCGTGCTTAATCCCGTGGGCCCAGCAGCCAAATTTCCAGTAATGGAAAAGGGACAGTGACATTGATGTTTTTGCTGTCATTTGAAAAAAACTTGCCGTCAGTACAATCTGCTCCAAGCACAATGGGATCGGTACCAGACACTAGGGCTACTAGGCAGGGCCCTGGATACATATGTCGAATTGTCAGAGGAGCAAGATGACGATTATGAAGCCCTAAGGACGCATTTGTCCGGAAGTATCAGCTAACCCTGGAAGTTTACCGGAAGTGATTTAGGTCCTTGCAAAAGGGACCTGGGGGTCTCATACAGATGTGGCAAGTCGCTTATGCACCACATTCCGGCAGTAGACCAGAGGCCTGTAAGCTGACAGTCCCCGGAGGATCTCATGATCCAAGATCAGCTGCTGCACCTCTGTCCGGCAGACGTCCAAGACGGTTTGTGTTGGAAAGAGGACCAGCATCTGCCAAAGCAGAAGCAGAACTGGCAGATACCTGTCAACACACGGGTATCTGACCACCACAAGGCTCTTCTGAATGGCTGGAAAGGAGCATTCATAGCAACCCCTCCTACATTGGTGAGTCTAGTTCCTCAATGGCCGACACCTGCAGTACTTAGGGTCAAGCCATCCCTGACAACTGCAGATGTTACACCTGTGGGATGCAGTGTCCTGAGCAGAAGATATCACCTGGCCAGCCGGCCAGCAACCCTTTCTTTCCCGCATAACCCTGTGCCTATGTGTTCATTGGGGTGCAGGAAGTGGCTTGAGAGAGGTGGGAGTCTGATGAAATCCCCACAGCTGTTCTGTTGGTTGCTGATTTAGGTACTCATCTTTTATTATGTACCGACTAAGAACACCCCTGGTGTCCCTCATGGAACTCTGGACATACAAAGTTACTGTGTGCAGATGTTGGGTTACTATCTGGGCAACCTGTGGATGGACAGAGGGAGGGGGGGAATAGAGTGGGGGTACAGAGTTCTCCATCTCCTTGAGAAGAAGAGACCCCTTTGCATGTGAAGGTAATGGACTCATGTTTAATTGATGTTACAAATGTAAATGTTGAATGTGATGATGTATTGCCAATATTAGTGGTCGCCCTCAGTGCTGCAAGGGCAGCTGAAGCACAGGCTCTGGTCGCAGGACAGCAGGAGGATGTGTCTCTGGCCCCTCCCCTTGTTCTGACCCAGATGACTCTGCCTCCATTGAGTCTCAGCAGCTGTCTTCGTTTGCCACAGGACCGCTTTCTGGGACTTGTAGTTCTGCCTTTGAGACAGACCAAACCCTACAGCTGCTCAGAAGTTTAGCTGATCTCCCCCCTTCAGAGAATGACAAACAGTTACTGGGACCAAAGAAAACTGTAAAGGGAGGATTTTTTTTCTAATCCAAACAACTTTTATTGTCGAGATAATAGAGAGAATGGAACAGTACTTACAGAATCTACAATGACATTACTGCAACAGCAGGATTACACATAAATAGAACAACATGGATATGCAGATCACGTAATAAACAGAATAACAGAAATGGTAATCAAACAAAACAGGCCACAAGGATCCAAAACTTTCTTGACAATATCTTGCTTTTTCTTTTTACGTCTTATTCCTTCCCAACTAGATGTAAACAGAAATGGAAAGGAAAAAAGCTCAAAACATGTCTTCAAACAAAAAAAAAAAAAAAACACAACAACCTCTGGGTCACCCAAGATGTCTCATCAAAAAGAATGGGAGATGCACATGAACTCCCCCAGGGGGAGAAGTGGAGCCACGCACCTGATATAAAATATCACACCTGCAAAAGTCAGTCCACTATCAATTGAGGAGGGGTGAGCCCAGGTGTATC